CGCAGCTCCTCATTTAGGCCTGTCGACTCACTTCCTGTCTGTCAAACTGCATAAAATTTTTCCCTGGTGAAGACACAAAGATGAGAAGTTGTTTATATGCTGCCATTTTGTTTATTTTCTGTATCATAATTTATTATCTATTTTTAACTGTTGATTTCGACAGAAATGTTATGTAGTTTTCATTTTACATTAACAATGACAATAAATGTTATTTTAATCGCCTGTTTTATTCTAAATCTGCCAACAAAAACATTAGGATTTTGGATTAATATAGGTCAGCGCTTGTTTTGGGTAACACTGCCCCAACTGGCAGCAGTTGTAATTGCATAACGTTATTTCATGCTTTTGAAAGTGCAGCAAAACAAAATGAAGGTGTGAAATTTTCACTCCCTCCAGTGGACCTGGAGTGACAGCGAACGTGACATTTTTAACCAAATTTGAATAAAAAACCTGTTCAAATGTTTGCAGGTTTGGATCCAGCTCCAACCTTTTTTTTTTTTGGCAAAAAAGAAAGAACATTTAAAAGGAACTGGATGTTAGTCCTTAGACCAGACAAAAAAGAAGGTTGTGACCTCGCGTCAAAGACACGGTCTAGAAGTTTCTTCGACCAAAAGACGTAGAGAAATGACGTTTATATCAGTGAGCACCAAAACGCTGTGAGTGACAGGGTGAAAGTGACCACAGCCACAGGGAGCAAACTCCCTTTGTGTTTGGTCAGGATGAGGGTGTGGGGGGTGTTAGAGGGTTAGAGCGCTGACCCAGGTCGCTATGTAGACGAGATCATCGGCCTGAGGGTGAGAAGCCTCCACCGGTGGAAGGTGTGGGGTGGAGGGGCAGGTGGAGGGTGCTGCTATATCACATTAACATGTAATCTCTGTCAGTCAGAGCACACAATACACCGGCCCTAATCTAATCTAATCTAATCTAATCCAATCACCTTCACCACTCTGGTGACACCAACCACAAAGGCTCCACCTGTGAGTAACACAACACTTCCTTCTTGGAGCCATCTCCTCACATGGAACCAGTGGAAGAAAACTCACAGTTCAATCCGGTCCTTGTAGTTCATGTGCCAGGCCTGTATGTGGTGCTAACACCAGGTAGCTTAACTTATTTTGTCAATACTATTTTGTGACCCATGTCTGATTTTTTAGACCAATATCTGCTCACCTGTCTGATCCAGGTCAGGTTTAAGCCAGAATGTGGACAGACAGGAAGGAGATCTGACAAATGTTTCAGATCAATTTCAGATGTTGTTGACTTCAGTCTCATTTTACGACCTTAAAAAGTCATTATGTCCAAAGGAAGTCCATCTGTCTCGCTGTCTGTGAAGATTCTCACTCATCCAGGTCATGTTTTCCAAAGACTTTAGTCGTAAGAAACTGGACTTTCAACCTCCAAGAAGACGTCCAGTTTCTTACAACTCAACTCTTTTGATCTGTCTCAACCAGAATCTCATTCTGCAACTCTTTGGATCTGTCTCAACCAGAATCTCATTCTGGGATGAGGGTCATGTCCTTGGTTGTTTTTTTAGCTTAAGTGCTAACCTGCAAAAACACCTGTATCTGTAGCCTGACTTTTAAATGTGTACTCCACCACATGGTTCTATAAAAAGTGCCGGGACTATTGAACCTCACAGCAACCGTTGCCTTTTCACCGCCTCCCCCTCTTTGTGTCTCAGGACCCCGGTCTGACCCTGCGGTCTTCAGATGAGGGTCTGATCCTGGGAGAGTTCCTGTCAGGGCCACGTGCGGCAGCAGCACCCGTCCGGGGAGAGACTTGACTTAGTTGGGAGTAAAATTCAATTATCCTGCGGGTGAGCGTGTCCGAGCGTGTCTGTTGTCAGCGACAGGGTGGACGGCTGCCCCGTTCCCAGCGTGCAACAGGGGGTTTAGGAACTGCAGAGAAAGGCCCCCATTATCCTGAGTGAGAACGGCCCATGTGGCTGTGGCTGTGGCTGCACGGCCCCCACACGCAGTCACTCTCCTCTTTACAGCAGCAGCAGCAGCAGCAGCAGTGAAAGGCCCAAAGTTTCATTTTCTCTTTTCTCTTCTACCACCTCTGCCGCCCCCCCCCTCCTCCCCCCTCGTCTATGAGTGAGACCCACAATGGCTCTGAAGGCTGGAGTGGATTCTTCAACAACCCCCCCGTGGTCCCTGCACATGTGGACAACATTCACAGGATGTCCGTCAATTGGTCCATTAATCAACAGCGTCCCATAAAAGCACAATTAGGGAACTTGGTGACTCCGTGAGTCTTCATCATCTCTGATCACCCCACCCTCACCCCCCACTGTCACACAGTCCTGCTCTGTTTCCTCAATAATTATTGTAGGAGGGGAAAAAAAAGTGATGGAGTCGTATAATTGAGATTAAAATGAAAGCGGGACATCTGCCGTTTGTAAAAGAACTTATTTCTTACAGTTGGACTGAGAGCGAGTGGCATCTGGCTGATCATTAGTGTGAGAATGGAACTCCAGTGTGTGAGTGTGACTGGAGGACGGCCGTCGTCCACGCACTCTGTGCAACACTTCTGCTGATAAATGGACGACTGTCTCCGTCCTCCGTAATGACAGTTAATGACACAGCGGGAGGGC